GAAAGCCTGCTGAAGGAGTTTTCTATGATGTCAATTTCTCTGCTGTGATGTTGACACGATACTCAGGAACACTTTTATAAGCCTGCCCTTAAACCTTTTTAAATAACCTATTAATGTGTTATTTTCTACACAGATGTGTTACCAACAGCTAGAAATACTAAACAACATAAAATGCAAAGACGATTTGCACTTGGACAGCTGCTCAACCAGTTGTCCTTTGACATTTGTTTTCCTGTTGTTGCATGGTACTGATCTTTACATTTACTCTGGATCTTTGGACTCTAAGGTTCTGAGGTTTTGTGTTGGATCTCATTTTGACCTGCAGTGTGTATCTGGATAAGGGGAAATTTTGATGTAGGTGTAAATGGACCCAAGATGCATTGAAATTGGAATTCTGTTGAGAGGCCCACACAGAGTCTCTCTCAGTCACTTAATTGCTCTTCTTCCTGCTGTCTAAGCTGCATGTCAAAAAGCTAAAAACAGCTTCCTCAGAAAAGGAATTATAAGAAACGCCCACACAGGAGCATGGTTAGACTTCGAGGACTGTTGCGATGTACAAGATGGTAACAGTTGTGACTGGCACTAGTTTTGTAGTTTAGAGGTTGCCAGCCAGGGTGGAACAGTGGTTAGCACTGTCGCATCACAGCAAGAAGGTTCCAGGTTCGAGCCCCAGCTGACCTGGTGGGTGGACCGCACCTCTCAAAGTCAGCTGTGTTTGCGGGCATCTCCAGTGGTACTGATTACCTTCCTAGACGAAAAGTTTAGACATTTTGGAGAAATTATGTCTGCTTGTTTTCCTACTAAGACTTGGATAAGAAGACTGATTCCAATGTCATTCATTCAGGTGACATTAACCAGGCTGCATATCTGAATACAGATTGCATATAAATAAATAGGGACGCAGTGTCTTAACTGCATCGTCTTCAGATGGCACTGATGGCTTGTAGATTGGCCTTTTTATATTTCATGAGCATACTTTAAGCCACATTGGCACTTCCCATCCTTCTGGTTCTTGTGTACATTGTGCGGGAGTTAAGCTTCATAGTGTCTGTTGTTATCCCGTGCTCTTCCCCTGCTCAGCAGCATTTATTACTGTATGTGCACCATCCTTTGCATGTGCCTTTTAAACTTGATTAATACAAATATCTTACACTGACAGCCATGAGGCCTGAAACTGAGACAAGTAATGGAGAGAGGAGGCTTGTCTGGTTTATTTGCTGTTACAAGCTTGGACAACAGAAACCAACTGCAGGTGTGTTTTATTGTGCATGTGATAGTGGGTGTGTATTCTGTCAACAAATTTGCAGTGAACTTAGTGGCTGTCAGTGAATGGATGGATGTATCCTTGAAACAGGCTAGTCCTGCTCTGGGGTGGAGTGACTCCCAGGTTTGGCTTGTCAAGAGAATGAATGACTGTACAAAACAAACACTCAGTACAGGAAATACAGAGCTCCACAGCTACTTGAAGTTACTGGTGAGAGAGCCTTCTCTTGTGAGGTCAATGTATAATCAGCTTGATGATCATTCTTGCCTCAAAATCACACCACCTCCTAATGACCTGAATGTATTAGTCAGTCCTACTGTCTAATATTGGATTTACAACTGGCTGTCCTTGGCTCTGCAACAACTTCAGATACCAGCGCTTTCACCAGTTTCTGGCAGTAACCAGACTAAATTCATCCTATCTAAAATCGGACTTTTCTGTGGTTGTCTTTCCTGTACTGACATAAGCCACCAGAAAATCAGATGCGCTTTTGAAAATGTGGCCTCTGATTTACTGTAGATCTGGTTTGGTGTACATATGAACAACAGCTTGCTTAGCCAACATTTCAAGTGTCTGTTTAATTGTCATATGCACAGTTAGGAAACATGTTTCCCTGTACAGTGAAATTCTTACTTTGCTGTCCACACGAATGCCACATAAAACAAGTGAACATGGAGAACGTGAAGAGCACAAAAGAAGAAGAAGTGAGAGCCGAGTGCATCACTGCTCAGTGG